GTAAATGGTTATTTTGAGGAGCTTGACGAATCAGTCTATAGAGATGGCATTAATAGACTGGAACACCGCTATGAGAAATGTATCAGCCTTGGAGGAGATTATGTTGAGAAATAAAAAAAAAAAATTTTTAAAAACCTTGTTTTTCTTGGTTAGGCCGGAAACTTATCAATCCACCCTCGTATAAGTGCACGGTGTCAAGTTCTACTAATAATTTTCCTTCAAACTCATCTACAGAAGCATACAATAAGTGGTTAAAATATGTTGTTAAAATATAAATACTTGATAAACTTTGCCCGGGTAAAGATTAAATACTAACCACGTAATAATTTTTATTTTGAAATAATTTAAAAACTGATTGGTAATTAAAAACATAATAAATGTCCATAGCTATTATTATTCCTAAAAAGGTAGAAAATCTTAAGGAAAATTAAACAAAAGTATAGTTTCTTACAAATTGTGTAATTCTTTGGGCAATACAATTAAAAAAGATAAAGATAACGCTGTTAAGAAGTCAAAATTTGTAGTGTATATATTATAACGTGGGGAGTGAACAAAAAGTGTGGCTATATAGAAAAGTCCAAAGAAAATGCGGTAGAAAATTAAGAGGAGCTATAAAAGATAAATATGGTGCATGTAGAAATGTTATGAGGTGTTCACTATCGAACAAGGCTTAATTGGTCTTGGCTTTGCAGCCTTAGTATTGGTCTTGTGAAAATGCAATACCAAGACTGTCTTTATACTAGTGAGACCAAGACCAAGACCAAACTACCAAAACCGAACGAGCAAGACCAAGACTAAAAACCAAGACCAAAGGAACGAAACAAAGACCCAACGAACAAGACCAAGAATAAAATCAAGACCGAAGGTGCAAGATCAAGACTAGAAGTATTTGAACAAGACCAAAGACCAAGACCAATAGACAGTCTTGGTTTTGGTCTTTGCCTTGCTTTGCCCATCACTACCCAAAATATAAATGTGAAAACAATAACAAGTTCATTACAGAACACAGGTGGGTTTATCGATCGAATTCGCAGAAAAACAAATTGAGATACGAGGGTGGATTGATAAGTTTCCGGCCTAACCAAGAGATGACGCCACTAAGCCTACCTTGAGGTGACATTCTATAGTACCATCCTTGGATAGCTTGTAGCTATAGTTTCAGCCCGATCTCCTTGCTAGTGTAGGTTTGACAGCACAGATATGTACATATATACTTACAATGTTTGAAAGTGGAAAAGCAGGAAAATCGTGCTG